ATAGTGTCACGATTGAAGGCAACGACATGATGAACAGTGAACTGAAAATAAAGGTTTAATTGGCGACCTTGTGCCAAACAAGATAAAGAGCGAGCATCGAGGCAGCAGAAAGCGGGCGGCGATTTGGCGGCGTAACAACAAGCGAGAGCGAGACTGACTCGGAAAGGTCCCGCGCAGCTCCTTACGTATGGTGTGCGTACCCATCTGGAATATTCGGCCCAGAAGGTTCGAGCATCGCGCGTTCGTGGCGAGCATGAACTGGCACTTTCGAGAACGAGAAAGCACGACGAAATGATAAAAGTTACATCCCGAGTAAGAATAAACGCAAATCAGCGTGACCGGGGGCTGCTTGCTCGGCCCTGCGCGCTCGGCAATATACTCTCTTTCATTCAAAAGTCCGACCGCGGCCAACGCTCCGTTCGAGTCCATTAAGAGGTTCCTAAACTGCATCGTCACTGTACTCGTTGTATTTGAGATCGGCTAACACAATCACGCAGCACAGAAAACTGCGCAGGATCAGCGTCCAGCCCATTCAATGCGCGTGATTGGTTTATTCGATCAAACGCACGAAGACGTTGAGCGCCGTGACGAGGCACTTTTGGCGCTGCTTGATTGCATCCATCGGCTGAGGTATAGACCTTTGCATCGCTTATCACCCGAGTGAACAATGCTGAGTCACTGAGCTGTGAACGCCTGTGTAGGGTCTAATATAGCGCACAGCAGAGCAACAGGGCATGCTCAGAAGGCGTTCCACAGCCCAGCAGACAAAGATGGCAGCGCGCAGAGGGCGATATTTGCAAACGTCTATGGACGTACTCAACTTAAAGTTCCTAGATAAGAGCTTCCTACAAGTCGCGACATTCTTTGAAGCGTCGACTGCGTGGCGGTGCAGGTTTGAGGAAGCAAATGGCGGCGCACTGCAGAGGTTTGAACTGAATGCCGCCGTTTTGTTCCAGCGGATTATGCTTTGTCATTTGTATTGGTTGTCGTTACTTGTAAAAGAAGTATTAAGGAACTTTAACTCAAGTCACTGACGTCAGGGCACTGCGGTGGCGCTGCTGCCGGTACGGCGCATGCGCAGACGCTTCACTCCTACCCAGTTTGGTTTCTGCGCACGCGCAGTGGCCACACCTGGAGGGGGCAAAGCGGGTTGGTTGGAAAGACTCTGTTAATGTAGATGGATCCCAAGTGAAACGAAGTTGTCGAAACTCTCACGACCTAGAGGGGGCGCATTGGTGCGTATCAAAATGGCTGTCATATGGAGGAACGTCGCAGGACAGCAGTGCGAGGCTGGGTTCGCGACGCGTAAGTAATTATAGTTCTGCTATATACGAGCAGTATTAGAACCGTCCTTAACCTTACTTTTACGCGTCAGGAAAGTGTAGGCAAGCACCTTTATTGTGAAGCACATCATCATGGATTTATAGGGAGTGGGATTCTCACACCGCAGTACCACAATCGCTGAGAGTTGCGAATATCAGTCCCGATCTGATGCGACGTCTGCACACATGCTGGCTGCAATTCGCTTTGCCATTTTAGCCGCCTCGGTGGCTCCGAGGCGAGAGCGCTGGCCTACGGATCCCTATGTGGCGGGTTCGAATCCCGGCCGAGGTGCCCACAATCTGATGGAGGCTTATTGCGGAGGAGGCGCCGTGTAACCGAGCTTTCGGTTGCACGTCAAAAGATCCCCACGTGGTCCAAATTAGCCCTCAGTCCTCCGCTGGGGCGTGCCAGATGCCCGTCGTTGGTTTGGCACGTAAAACCCCCAAATTTGACTTTGGGTTTGCCATTTTAGTCCTTTGTGAGCCTTTCTCGAAAAGGTTATACCTTCTCTAGCTCTTTCAATGACATCTTAAAGCTTCAAAATGATATGAAGCTGAAAAGAAAAGTTTACAGCGAGAATACTTTTTTCCCCAATGCTCGGAGATCTATACGATCTTCTCTGAATTATCCAGCATCTGCTCGGCTAAACGGCAAATCTAATTGGTTTACGTGAAATCGTTTTCTCGAACACTAATTTAAAACGCATTCTTACGTGCGTATTTTAAATGTCAACAAAATATTAAACAGTACCTCCAGGGCTTTCAGAAGAAAATCGGCCTTCGCTTGCCTTTCCATGGCAAGTGTGTGTAGCTTCGAGTAGTGAGCAAATTAACTTGTCAGACGCAGCAACTCTCAACCGCTGATTCAAGAGCCAGTTTTCTAGACATATGCTCACGCGATTGATTTTCACGAAAAGAAACGACTCACGGACAGGGCGGTCAGCTATTGTCGTCCGCGATAGTTCGATTTCGTTCCTGTTTGTTGACTTCGACCTACTTTCTTCTGAATTTCTTAAAACAAATACAGCATAAATGAATTGTCGGGAGAAAAACCTTCCGTATTTCCTTGCTAGATAGGTGAAAAATTAAGTTGGCACGTAATACTATTTTCGGAATGTCTGTGCAAGTGATTTGAGAGAAGACAAGTTTCAAGAAGCGGTCGGCGGCAATTTGAGCCGCTACAGCCGAGTGCAAGCCGAATACGGTCGAATACCGCATAGGTAGCCACCGGCTTGCCAAGCCATGAAACGCCCCATTGCGACAGCGAGTGGCACTTCAATCTAAACTGCCCTTGAATAGCTCAATGCACGGGTCCGAGAAACCCTGTACAACATATTGGACTCTCTGACCTGAACGCCGTTCATACGACGTTACGAAACAAGCCAGAGCGTCTAACTTGCAGCAGTGCCTGTCGAAGTAAAATATTGAAATTTAGGTTGCAGATGATGGTACGCCTCTAACGTTCATATTGTTCACGACGTTCTTCGTGCCTCAACATTCGCTGCGCACTCATTTGATCGCCGTCCTTCGAGCGTGACTAGAGGTTCGGCTTCATCAAGCGAATATGCGGCGAACAGCCGACGAACTTCGCCCGGCGGCACGTTCGCTTTGCGCGCGACGCAACAGCCACTGTTCTGACGCCACGCGCAGAGTGAACGTCGTCGGGCGAAATTCGTCACTCGTTCGGAGCATTCTCGCTCCATAGACCTTTGCAAAAATCGCCTTCTGCGCGCTGCCATCTTGGTCTGACCTTCTGAGCGTGCGCTGTTGCTCTGCTGTGCGGTATATCAGACGCTACGCATGCGTTCACAGCTCAGCGACTCAGCATTTTTCGCCCGGGTGATAAGCGATGCAAAGTATGTAGAGTCCAGCCTTTAGAACCGTGATTGCAGACACCGCATGCAAAGCGAACGTGCTGCCGGGTGAAGTCCCTGGGTTATTCATTTGCCGCATATTGGCTATTGGCGCTCTGTCCAGATGCTCTATAATCTGGGCATTTGGCGTAAAAGTCGGCGAGAGATTCAACCGCCGTGATTGACCGGCGCCAAGGTCAAGCGCGACGCCTTCCAATCACGGCCGCCAGACTCCTCGCTAACGTTTTCGCCAAGTGTCCAGATTAGTGCCCCGGCCTGTTTTCCATAGAGCTTGGTGTTTACCAGACACAAGGCTTGTGGACTTGATTCTTTTACGTCATCTTTCACGATAGAGAAGCACAGTGGGACGTAAAAAAAACGTGTTAACCATAAGGGAGTGACCCTCTCGGGACTCGACAGGCCGGATCTTCCCTGAAAGCAGCCGTCAGAGGATGCGAGCTTGACCCACTTCAGCCTTTGTGCTGAGCAGGTCCTGGACACATGCGCGGTGCATGCTGCATCGTTCACGCAGGCAGCAGTGACCATAACAGAGAAGAAAAAAAAACCTTCCTCGGGCGACGGTAGAACACGAGCCTTAGCTGAACGCTGACTCAGCGTTCGACTACGACAGCCGAGCGCTGCGTCATTGTGGTTGTCTTCGTGGGGGTAGTTCTAAAGTTAGCCGCTCGGGGGCATAACGGTTGGTTCACCTCCTCAATACCTCTGTCTCTTGTTAACATGAACCGCAATTAAGGCCATAAACGCGAGGTTCTTGCCTTAGGGTGAGCTTCGAATGCATCAACTCTCGTGTAGCAGAACCGTCTGCGTACAAGTTCTCGCACTTCTATCCTTCGCTGAAGATGAGGCGGAGTATACAGTTTCCGCATGATTTAAACGACACAACTTGCAAAGACGCGCATCATCTTCTTAAATGTAGAATTCTCCCGATAAGCTTATTTGCATATGTGGGTGCCCTGGGAGCCCCCACGTTACACTAAGCTGATATTCCCGGCTGGCCAGGTTACTTGACGCACGGACAGGCCTGCCGTGATTTGATCGCGTGGTGGCCAAGGGGCTAGTGCGCAATATGCCACGTGCAGCTCGCGCGCGTCACCTTCACAAGGCTCAACAGAGATGGCGGGGACTCGGTGGCTGACTGCCAAGCCGCAAAGTCGAGTTGGTAGTCTTCGTGCATAGCCAATTCGACCAACCTTCTTGTTATTGAAACCTCTTGCTTTGTGTTATTAATTGGGGTCGGATATGCAAAGCAAACCGACCGGCACCCTGATAGAGGGCACTCGTTTCTAAAATGTTTTCTGTGCTTTAATGAACACAAAGTATTACTGATATTTCATAACCACTTTCTTAATTAAACATTAGGGCATGTATACTTGGGTTTGTGACCATTGCCCTCAAACCCATATGTCTTTAAGCCCGTGAGCGAAACTTAAGAAACTAACAATATCCACAAAGATGGGGTACATGTTCATATAGTTACACTTTGTCAACCGGACTGCATGAAACCAACATGCTGTAGATCAGCGACGAGTTTTGCTCGGCGGCCTTCACTTTGTGCACTGTGTCAGAACGGTGGCGTTCGGAATCACAAGCAAAGTGAATGCGCCATTGCGAGAAGTATGTCTTTGATTGCCGATCATTCTCTCCAGAGAGTCCAACCCTCGTGTCTTTTAAGAAATAACAAACGATTGTAAATTATAAAAGGGCAACTTTTTTTAATTTATCGGCACGAAATTTCATCTACCGTTGGAGTGTATACTGCTTTCTTGTCAACGTCAAAAAAAGAAAAAAAGGGAGGGCGGCTTACCCACGAGGTCGAAGAGGTAGACTTTGTTGCGCAGCCGCTGTTCCATTCCCAGGTAGACGAGAACCCGAGCGGCGTGGTGTTTTACGTAGCGCGCGTACTTGGTGCTGTGGTTGGTGTAGTACCACTCGTCCGACGGCAGGATGAGCTGCGTCAGACAGTCGGGCAGTTCGGCCTCCGACAGCGCTACGTGGTGCTCTGGAACGAGCGCCAGCGTGGCCACGATTTGCAGCACCATGCAGAGCAGTTGCTGTCGGGGCAGAAGAAAAGCCAAGAAACCAAATCGGTCAGTCATGATTTTTCTTCCTTCGTAGGAAAGAAACAATAATGTACGTAAACACCGAAATATCACTGTCCAACGTATTTCCCATAATCCTAAAGAATACACATGTCGGAAAGAGATACTGGGTGCTGTCGCAAATGAGTATTTACTCTGCATGCTAAATAAGAAAATAGAAGCGCCGGTGTTTTTGTTTTGTTTTATAGCCTAAACTTTGACAAGTGGCCACCGAATACTAAAACATAAATTTGGATACATAAGAATGTCCAGGTCGGCAATACATGTATATACGAGTAAAAGTCAAATTGCAGACTTTACGTGCCAAACCAGCAAAGGACATCTGGCAAGTCCCAGCGGAGTAACAAGGATTAATTTCGTCCACGTGGGGTTGTTCCGACGTAAAATCTAAATCTCGGTTACACGCCTTCTCCACAATAAGCGGCCGTCAGATTGCAGGCAGCTCTCGACCGAGATACGAACCCGCGAACTGGGGATCCGTAGGCCAGCGCTTTACCTCGGAGCCATCGAGGTGGCTATCTACAGGGTGTCCCCCCAACACTTTACAGTGTTCTTTAATCGCAAACATAAAGTACGCTCCGTCGAACGTTCAGCTTACGACTATATGTAGCACTAGCGGTTCCAAAGTGATCCAGATTCCAAAGTTTCAGAACGATCCGATACCTTATTCAAAAGTTAAAAGCGATTGTCGGAAATTTTCAATGAGACAATGGTGGCCGGCGAAGCCCGAATACGTGAAGCTGAATGGCGCAAACTACCCAGAACGGAGCACGGGCCCCATTTTCCCATTGGAAGTTTAGGAAAATTACTTTAACTTTCAAACAGGATAACGCTTCCTTCAGGAACTTTAGCATCTGTTTCGGACCGCTAGAGGGAAAATGTCCTTGAAATCATGCCTTTAATATCAATAAGTAACAATTTAATTACTCAAAATTAATGCATCAATTTTTTTTCTGTGCGATGCATAGTTTACGCAGGAGCGATTTCGGCCTTGTTTTCGGAAACACGGACAAACAAATATGCATATATATAGTAACCTCCCTCGTATTGATTAAAAATACTAAAATTAACACAGTATACTATCTGCATTAAGACAACAAACTAACACGCACGATGCAACCCGAGTGATCCACCTGAGACCTTAGTAAACAGTTCAGTTTGATAGCTCCCGATTTCCCAGGGTGTCTTAGAAAATGGTTGGGGGTGCCTTTGCAATGATCCACGCACCGAGAATCGGTGACCACAGGACCTGTGTACCGTCGGTCGTAAACGTCTAATGTGGAAGCGATGGGAGCCTATCCTGGCAATGTCCGTTTCCTCTTTCTCTTCTTGTAATTCTGCTGCAGTGGACTGATGGATGGATGCTAACGGCTGTACCGTTTATATCGGGCGGTAGCTTGTGCCACCTGCCCTAAAAATTAAGAACCTTAAGCATGAGTTCTTTCCTTCGCCACTGTGCTTAGCCTCTGCAATTTCGCAACTATCACCAGGCGGCATGGGATATCACCAGAATAGCCCTTTGGGAATCGGGCAAAAACTAAAACTTCAACCCCCCCCCCCCCCCCCCGCCTCTTCCCTCCGTCAAAAAAAAAAAAAAAGTCACGACGTGTTTTTTTTTTTTTCGTTGTTAGGAAGCATTGCGAGCGATTTCGCCGTCATCCTGCTTTTTGTTCGTGACGCTGCGAAACCTTTTTCTGGTGCGTACAGTCTCGCCAGGACTGTTTATGATGAAAAACTCAAATTCCAATAGTTTGGACATGAAACTTTATTTTGTTCAATGTTTTTAGAAGGCCGTGGTTTCAGAGTGGCCGTCATCATTAAGCAATAACTAATTTTATTGTCAAGATTTTAATATTTACTGATCTACCTTTTGGTCCGTGTTAGTAATTTGATGCTCAACTGTCGTGTCGCTTTCATGTGTACGCAACCGCAGTGCATCTTCCGACAATCTACAGAATAGCTTATTCTATTTCGTGAATTACCACACACTTGCTGGTGACTCGATCGTAAAATCTTGGCACGTAGCACGTTCCATAAAGTTTAGTTTTGCAAAACTCACGAGAACATGCAACACGTTCGCTGCACCCAATGCAATGCACGTATGCCTTCATAATGGTTTCTTGAAACTCCGCGGTGTAGAGGCAGGAAGCGCGAATGGACTTGCCAAAGATGTTCAATGGAACACTTACCGGGTCGTGAGTAGAATCCAGAGCGTTTATGAGTATCTTCAGGTGGGCTTCTTCGACCAGGTTGTGCTGGACCTCGGCGTTTTGGCTCATAAACAGGATAACCCGAGCACTCATGATTTGAAGGCAATGGTAGCTGCAGTGGCGCCACCTGCATGTCAGATGAGAGGATCTTGAGAAAATGCCTCCACTCCTGGGCCTCTAAACTCGTCAAACACAAAGTTGGGGCCCAAGTTGACGGAGCGCACCCATTGGCCTATAACAACGATGACTTGGCGCTTTTTTTCGCCGACGTCCAATAGGTGCCCTCCGCGAACTTTCTGCACCAACTTTGTGTTTGACGAGTTTAGGGACCTTGTTGGTCAGTCGAGAACCTTGTCAGGCTAGAGTCCGATCAGCAGCCTCTAAAGCGTGACATCTGGCCCCATTTGGCGCTCTTCAGTTTACACTTCTCGTGATTGATTAGTAGTTCCGATGGCTTCAAATCACTGTAAGATAACATAAAAAATAGGCTCGAGATCAGGTAGCAGTGACTGAAATGATGAGAGTTATTTAAACAATACTAGACAAGAAGGACCACCCACTGGGAATTAGTTTAATCTATTTAAAGGGAAGCTACGGAGCTTCTTGAAAAAAATGAGTTAGAAGTGAATTCTAGCGTATTTTTACCCCGTGAACCCGAATACCCAAACTATTTGCTGCGTAAGTATTGTTAAACGCGAGAAAAACGCGAAAGACTGTCGCTGTCCGTGACGTCATCGACGGCTCTTTTTGGCTGCCCAAGGCTAGGGGGGCGAGGCTTCAGCCCTATTTTGAAATTGCTCTTGTGGCTCTCCGGCGCGTCGCATTGAAATATAATTTTGATATCTGTTATTCTAAAGGCCAAATGAACGCAATTCAAGCGTTTTTTCTCAAATGTAGAAGTGCCCCATCTTCCCTTTAATGGAAGGAGCAAAGTCACGTCCACACCTCTCTGATCTTTGTTCTTTTTGAGTTGAATGTACTTAAATATATTTTTCATGAAAGAATTAAAGGCGTTAAGAGAAATTCGAATAATGATAGGAACTGGAATACGCAGACATTTAGGAAACTGTCTTTCATTCTTCCAGTTTCTACAGGATAGTCTTGATAGAGCTACGACACATGGTTTTACACTCTCAGGCATCCAAAGGGCAAACTATAGGGGTTATTTAGTGCACGCAATGTTTGTGGGTGCTGTTCAGAGCGCATGCCCAGAACGAGTTTACATTAACAGGAAGTATTCACTGGCGGCCATAGCTGTGTGTGGGAATGCTGAGCGCGTGCTGATGGTGAGCTTCCACAGTTCTTTTGCGACGTGCATTCCGCACCGTTAAGAGTGCCGATCTTAGCAGCCTATTGATGTGAGCTCGTTCTGAGCATGCGCTCTAAACAGCGCCCACAAATATGGCGTCCAGTGAATACTCCCTATAGGCTGCTATAAGACCGGCATCTCGAGGGTGTAGAATGCACGGTTAAAAAAAAAAAAAAAGAACTGTGGAAGCTCGCCGTCAGCACGCGCTCATCAGTCGCCCACTCAACTATGGCCGCCAGTAAATACATTTTATACAAATAACCTTTCATCGTAACGTATCGCATTTCGTTTTCGTAACATCCGACGCGAGTATTGGAGTGCTTAGCCCGTGCGACCCAGGCGGCGCTGGGGCGCAAGTTGACCTGTTCTCCCGGCTTCATGTTCTCCCGGCTCCATTCGCGCACTGAACCGAGAAAATCACTTCTTCAGCGCCAAATCGTGGGGTAAGCCCAAACGCGGCAGATCCCCATCACCCATTTCGCAGCTTCCTTTACGACGCGACCACGCGGTGTAAAATCCCGTCGCCGTTTCACGAAGTCATTTTACCGCAAACCGATGGGAGTGGCGGCATCCAATCCAATTCTGAATCTTCGCGCTTCACATCTTGGAATGTCTGGCGACCGCTGTAAGATATGGATGATCGACGCTCACGCGTAAGCCCTGATGGATGAGGCGATAACTTTATGCGAGGTGGACGACGGCAAGGAGGGTGCCATTTTCTCGGGCGGCCTGTACCTCACGTTTCGCGAGCCATCAAGAACGCAGGGCGCAGTATCCGTGACAGCTGGGCGTCTTCACTGGGACCTCTTTTTGTTGTCGTCCAAGAGCGGGCCGGTCCGCCACAAAAAGGGCGTCTCGGTCGTTGTCATGATAACCCCGGAAGACGGGTCACTACTACGACTTTCGTAAAATATCTATCCGCTGGATACATCGACTGAAAATTACTGTATATATACATGACACGCTCGTCACATCGTGTCCATATCAGCGGTATTCACTGGACGCCATATTTGAGGGCGATCTTTACAGTGCATACCCAGAACGAGCTCACATTAATAAGCTATAAGACCGGCTATCTTGATGGTGTGAAATACACGTTGCAGAAGAACTCTGGAAGCTCACCGTCAGCACACGCTCAGCATTCGCGCAGACAGCAATGGCCACCAGTGAATGCTCCCTATAAGGAGCGGAGCTTTAATATTTTCCCGCGGCGCCGCGCCATTCTGGAGGCTATTGCTGGGCATACGTTGCATTCGTTTGGTGGCAGAAGTTGCTCATCCGTGCTAGTGCCAGTCCTATGCTGCTGGTTTTGTGTCGTTGCAGTCGGTGCAGGAGTTGAAGCTATACCAAGTAAACATCAGGTGGGAACAGGTGGCTGTTGAACCAGCGAATGCGGCAAAAGGTTGCCCGCATCTGTCTGGTCGCCGTACGCGGAAAAAGTCGTGTTGCGTGGTGGCAAGAGCCCGCTACTGTTTAGCCTTGACACCGTGACAGATCGCGATCGTAGCCGAAAGTGCAGGATGTACATATCCAAGAGTTCAAGCAGCAGAAGGGAAGAGCGCGGAGCCTCGTATCTACGATTACATCAAGCTTTGCAGGAAAGGCCCAGACGCATCCTGCCCTCAACACCTTTCTTTTATTCTTTTCAAGTGAACCCTCCTGAACAGGTGACCTCGATTTTAGAATAGAGGGACTTGGTCCCTCGTCGTTCACTTATCATATTCGGGGTGGTGGGCGGCTGCGGTGGTGTGGGAGCCGTCTGGGGGTTTTGTCTCGACGTAAATAGACACTCGGTCTCGCCGATTTGATCTGTTGGCTTGTTTGACATACAAAAGAAGAAGAAAAAAATCCGTGTGGATTGTTTTTGCTTTGCGTGCTACGTATACTTGCATTTTTTGTGGGTCTCCTCACTCGGACGTGTGCCGGTGGCAGAAATGCCAATACAATTTGGCTCCAGAGCTGCCGTCTTGGGAGCCACCCCCCGCTACGCGATCACGTCTGCCACGTCTACTTCGGCCTTCGTGTTGGCACGGTGCAGAAATCTTTCACCCGTCTATACGACTGCCCAGGCGAATGTCAAAGCTGTCGGCTACCGGAAGCGGATTCTGAGTGCTGCAGAAAAAGACGAAGAAAGAACAGCTGAGCTATGTACTCTCTTCGTTTTTGTTCGCGAGCTACTAATCCTCGCAAAACCCCTAAAGAACAAAGCCATTTCGCATTATGTGCTAATTATTCTCGCTGCGGACATTACACCACTTTGGTGGATTTTCTGCTGTAACGTAACTCCACTCCCCCACCCCCCCCCCCCCAAAAAAAAACAAAAAAAAAACAAGAAAAAAAACAAGAAGAAAAAAAACAGTTTTGCATTGGCGGTTTATTTGCGTCGTGTAGGGTATGATGCGGCTCGCGTCTTTCGGCCATTCACAGCCGGGAAGGCTCATATGTTAAAATTCTTCCAAGTGCCGGAGGTTTAAGGCTGATTCACACATATAGCACAGCGCTAAGTTAGCGACTCATAAGCGCTGGAAGCAGCGCTCACGTGGCATTAAGTTGCGCGTGACGTGGCGCTCGGTTAGTGCTTCAGCAGCGCTTCAGAAGCACTCTGACGCTCCTTGTGCCGTGCTTGCTGCCGCGGAACAGCGCGTGCACGGCGATTCCGTTGTTGTTTTTCTTTTGGTGGTGAAAAAATAGGAAGAGCTATGTCGCTGAAAAACCCGCTTACATTTTTCGTGCAGATCCTGGCGGTTTATTCGGCCATTCATGCACCAGCGAGTGCACGAGGAACAGCAAGATCTGACTCAGCGGCGAAGCTTCCAGTCATCACTCTCTGGGATATTCCTGCATCATCCAGCGATTACCGGAAAACTATCGACCACGCTCCGATTCTATACTTCGGGCATGCGCGACCGGAAGCATCGACGGTCACTTCCTGGACTCAACCAGCTATAAAGCCGCAATCAAGGTGGTTCAACGAGAGTGGGCGCGGCGACTCCGTCAGAGCCATGTCGCTGAAAAACCCGCTTACACTTTTCGTGCAGGTGAGGAACGAGTACCTTTCATGTTCTTACCGAAGCGACAATGTATGTCTTTCAGAGTTGCCGTGCCCACGGTCACTTTGGAGAGTGTTATGTGTGTGCCATGACCTGTTTAGTCTCTTGTTGATGCTAAGCGGCGACGTAGAAATCAATCCGGGACCCACCCTTGAAGATCTAATGCAGCATTTTACGGCCATTGCAAGTAACATGAAGGAGATAAAGGAGGGAAAAACTGCTACAGATGCACTGATTGCGGAAACTAACGCTAGACTTGCAACAATCGAACGCAGAGTAGATGGACTGTCCAATATGGCGGTTTCTGTGGCAGCCTTCGAGACAAGAATTGTGTCTCTTGAAAAGAACGTTAATTTCCCTCTCGGCCAAGTAGACGACCTGGAGAACAGAAGCACACGCAATAATCTACTTGTTTATGGAATTAAAGAGACAGGAGATGAAAGCAATGAAGGGTTGGAAAACTGTGTTTAGAGAGAAATTTTCGAGGATATTCTCGGTGAACACGCCTCTGGAATTGAAAAGATACACAGGCTTGGTCGTAAGGTCGCTAACAAAACGCGACCAGTTATCCCAAGGTTTCTCGATGAAAGGGACAAGAGTGCAGTTCTGAGCACCTGCAGGCGTTTAAAGGGTTCAAGGTTCAGTATCTCTGAGGACTTCTCACCACGTATCCAGCAGATTAGGAAAAAACTCTGGGACAGCGCTAAGGAATTAAAAAAGAATGGAGACAAAGTCGTTCTCTCTTTCGATAAAATTAAAATAAATGGA